AAATAATATGCATCTTGTGAAAAATAAATATGCAGAAATTAATTTGTAGGAGTGCAGAACCTGTTAGTCCCATCTGTAGCATCAAAGGAAATCACATCTCAAAAAAAGGCATAATTCTTTTTGCATATTGGGTCAGCCCAGAAAAGACGTGTCAATTGATCACTTTCATCAACGTCATACTCAAAAATATATGTTGAACAAGTTTCTTGCTTCCGAAAAAGCTTATTAATTAGCATTTGTGCATCCACACCCGAAATATATACCTTCAAATCTCGTTTAAAGTTCTTGAAATCAACAGCCGCTTTGTGTGTGTGTGTGTGTTGAGGTTTAGTCCCGCATATCCAAAAGTCCAACACCCGCTTTGGATATTAAGGACATGGAAAATAGGTCGAGGATAAAGGAAAATATAAAAGCTGAGTAATATTGTGCTCAAAAGCCCACTTGTATTAAGTAATTCGTTAATTACATGGAAACTTCCCGAACGGCAAGTCGGAACAATGACTAGTACAAGAACGAGAGTGAGAAAGCTCTTCTAGATCTTGAGTCTCAAGATGCTAACCCGTTACAATGTAATTAATACCCCTATTTATACTAAAAAAGGGTAGGTGGGGGGTATGCGGTGCTCCATGCTGATTGGTTGCTAATCTAGTTGCTTGAATGCCCATGCTTCCACTTGCTGACGCCATACTCTAGCATTTAATGCACTTTGCCACTTGCAGGCTGCCCGTTCGGGCAGCGGAATGACGATCCTGTCTGGTGTCCCGTCAATCTGCCTCAAGCATATCATGTGAGCCGTTCCCCGTTCGCGACCCGAGTGAACTCTTATGGACCATCGGTTCCCGTTCGGGTTACATCTCTTCCTGGACCCATTCTCCCTAGTGGCGTTTGGGCCAGGTATTGGGCCTTCGGCCAAATATCCCAACACTAGTCCCCCACTTCCAATGTCTCGAACGGTAGTGAGTGCATACGGAAGTAGAACTTTTATGTTGAGTATCGACTGGGAGCTAGATCTCGTTGGTTCCCAATGTCATGAGTCAGTAGCTTATTGCAACTGTCATTTGATTTTCCTCGTAATCATCATGATTACTGTCCTTTTTCCTCCGTGTGACACGTGTTTTCTCAAACGCTTCTGGTGACGTGTCTTCTTATGGTTGGTCAATGAATCAGCGCTTGCTAGGCTATAAGTAGGCCCTCGGTTCTCCGGTTCTGGGTTTCGAATTTTCAGACCCTTCGTGCTCTTGCTCTGCCTTCTCTCTAGGGCTCTTCAAGCTCCGTCCGTTCAGGTACACTTTGCCCCTTCGTTGTTTCTTTTTTCACTTTGTGTTCACTCAACATGTCTTCTTGACCACATTCTTCCGGATCGGATTCGGAGTCTGCCTTTCAAGGGAAATTCATGACGCCGCTGCACAGGACGCTATAGCTGTCCCCTTTGTTGATGTTGCCAGTAATGCGACTGCGGGGGCGGTTGATGAAGATTCTACATATGACTCTACTTCTGCCGGTGAGGACTCTGATGGCACGATGTCTGGTGATGAAATTGCCTCAATGGCGGCTGGTCCCCCAGGCGATGTCCCTCGTTATAGGGTTGATCTAAGATTAATAAGGGAGAGGAGGCGGAAACTGACTTCTCACAATAGGGCTCAAATTCCAACCCTAATTCCGGACCCGATGGATTTCCATCTTCGAGCTGGGCTTCACCCAATGCGCCACCTCCTTGGGATGGTGGTGGTCCATCTAGAATCAGTGAAAGCTGGGCTTATGTTTCCCTTGCACCCATTTTTTGTGTTCCTTTTCAAATTCTATGAGGTAGTGCCGGCGCAAATCATGCTTAACTCCGATCGGGTGATGGCCGGCTTCATTTGCCGTTGTGTGGACGCCAACGTTACACCCAGTCTGGAACCCTTCCATCAATTTTTAAGGTGCCCCCTCAGTAGACGCATGGGTACTTGGCCGCAATTGCTCGAACGAGACATATATTATTTAAGGGCAACCCAACTTCAATCAAGGGGTGGAAAGATAGGTTTTTCTTCGTTTGCATCCCGGACGGTCTCATCCCGAAACAGGTGGAATGCCTTCCCTCGTAAATCTCTAGATCCGCTTATTACCGAGAAGATATGCAAGGTTGTTTTTGCGGTGGAGGAGGGAAAGACCTGCAAAATTATGGAGTACCTGACTCCTGATCAGCTTGTCAAAGCCGAGATAGGTACCGTCCGTATTCCTGGGTTTACTTGACTCAAAACCAAGTGCCATGGGCCGGGCGGTCCTTCTCGTGTGAGAAACATCCCTCGTTAGTTTCCCACGTGATAAGACCGCTCGGTACTAACTTTCACCTTTGTTATTTTTTCAACTCCCAACCCAGACGCTCCCATGGATGACAGTCGTGTGCTTGTTGCTGGTGGAGTAGGAAAGAGGAAGAAAGCTAAGAAGAATAGCCATCCCACATCTTCCACTGCTGCTCCTCGGAACACTGATCAGCCCCAGCCTGCTCAGGTTGATCAGCCCATCCAGCAGGTTTCCCTCGAACACGTCTTGGATGATGATATGTTGATAGACAACCCGTTCGGGTCAGAACCGCTGCATCATCTTTCTGATGCATTCCAGGCTGCTTAGGATATGAGCATGGGGGACTGGTCAGGCTATTGCTGCTGATGTGGCTGGACAGATCAGACGAATATCTCTGGAAGATCCGGTCCACGAGACCTTAGAGAAGGTTGGCTCCTCTGCGAGCCAGATCTGGGCTACTTCCGCCTTCTTCAACAATTTCCCTTTGTCTAATCTCCCGGTCGATCGGGCAGAGGAATATGTTGCTTTAACAGCCCTGAAGGTACTTGGCTCCCATCCTCCTCCTTGTTTCATACATTATTTACGTATTTCTCATCTCTTTTTTTACTTTTGAACGACTTGCAGATGGGTTTGTACAACTTATAGCTGCAGGAGGCCCGCTTGGCCATGGAGCGGGAGCTGATTGTGGCCCGTGCTAATGCGGAACAGGAGGCTGCCACTGTCCTCCACGCTTCTGAGGCCGTACGAAAGGCCTTTGTTGAGGAAAAGCGACGCCTCGAGACTGAGCTTGGCGAGCTCTGGGTTCAACTTGCTACTTTCCAGGCCAATGTAGCTGTTGCTGAGGCCGCTCAGGTGGTGTTTGTAGAGTCAGTCTCCCGTATTACGGACGACCCTTCTGAAGTGAACGTGGATCTCTCCGCCGTTCAAGAGGCATTCAAGTCCTCTGATGAGTTTACCTCCATTAAGGAGGAGTACGCCATGCAGCAACTCCCAACTAAATTTGGGGCTCATCTTGAAAAGTTCACCCGGGGTGCCGAACGCCGTAAGGCAGGAGTGAAACTCCTTGACCAGGATCCCCGGGGCAAGCATTGCAACAACTCCCTGGCTACGGATCTCTACATCATGGGGTGCCACCATATCTTATGACCCTTTGTTGCCCAACTGCAGCAACAGCTCGGGAGGCCGATCGAGGCTTCCAATCTTCTACAGGTTTTCATTGTCGTAGCTCAATTTGGGAGTATGAACAGGACATGCAACGGGCTGCTGACCGTGATGCTGGAAAGGAGCCTGAACCTCCCACCCCCTCTGTTCAGAAGTCGATGAAGATGAAGAGGAAGATGGTGAAAAAACTCTTGGCCAGTAGTTTAGTTTTTGTCTTACTTTCTTCATCTGTTTGTAATCTTCTTGTTTAGAACTAAATCTTTAACGATGTAACACCCGGCCTGTAGTGCTGTTGAATAGATATGAAATCTTTTGCCCAACTGCCGTTTTTTATCCTTTTGTTGTTTAGTCTTCTCTTAATGCCTTCTAATCTTTCAGGACTTAGTCGCTTTCCCAATAGATTTCCCGTTCAGTCAATTAGCCAGGACTTGCTTAATTCTCTGTCCCTTTTTGAGTGCCTTGCAATCCTCCCTGTTCGGGAGAACACTTATGACTTACCTTGGGACTGGCTTCGAATGGTACTTCAATGCCATTCCCGACTTCCTCCAGCGTAATCATAAAGGCACGCATCGATCTCGGTTCGGGACCCCCATTTCCATTATCAATTTGGCCCACTTTAAATTATCAATTAGCCTAAGCACGCATAAAATCCGGGTCGTGTACTCTAGTGACTCTGTTTTTAACACTTTTTAAAACTAGTGACTCTGTTTTCAGCTTTATCAGACTTATTAGCCTACTATATAACCAAAGCACATAATTTTTTATTAGGCGCTCTGAATTTCATAATAATAAGAAAAAGTAAGGGTGAAAATGTTTTTCTAGCTGCATGGGATGAATCAGCACAATCACTTGAATCAAAATTTTATACGAAGTACTCCCTCCGTTCCTATTAAAACTTCCAAGTGGATTGGGCACACAGTTTAAGATAGTGGGTATTGTGTGGTGGAGAGTCGTGCAGAGGAGAGAGAAATGTGTAAGAAATGTTGTGAACCACAAATTGTTTACCAAAATGAGAAAGTAGAAGTTTTAATTGGAACGGACGAAAAAGGAAAGTTAGAAGTTTATTTAGGAACGGAGGGAGTATATTTTAGCACAATCAATCAAGCTGTTTTTAGTTTTACCAAACCGCCTCTCAACTCATTACTACCGTTGGTATTTACCATACTGATTTAATTTGAAAAATAACCTTTTGACAAACATTTCTCATGCCTTAAATTTAATGACCTCTATAAAACTAGCTTGTGGACCCGACTTTATAGGTCAACCCACTTACACAGTGAAAATAAAGAAATAGTAGGATGTTTTTATTTGAACTATAATTTGCTAGTCTTTAGTTTATGTTTCAGAAGGAATTACGGTCAAATTAAAAACATTCTTAAAGAAGAAAAGTCGCGGGGCGGCCACCAATTGACTTGGCGGCGGACAGGTTGCTACAGCCTTTCTGATTATCAATGGGACACGTTGATATATCTGCCTGTCGATATATCTAATCCAAATCTTCCGAATTAAATTAAACATCCCCCAAATCACCTTTCAGATTCATTCATCTATATATACGAGCACATTGTTCCCAATTCTCTCACATTCCAACCCCAAAAGCCATATTCGTTTTGTATCAATTCGTTCAGATCTTCTTCGTGTATCAACAATGGCATATAGTGAGTGTGAAAACTTCCACGTTCTGGCCGTCGACGACAGCATCGTCGACCGGAAACTGATCGAGAGGATCCTGAAGGCCTGCTCCGGCGACAATGTGAAAGTGACGGTGGTGGATTCCGGGGCGAAGGCTCTGCGCGTGTTGAACGAGGTCGGAGCGGATCTGATCATATCCGATTACAGTATGCCGGGAATGACCGGATACGATCTGTTGAGGGAGATCAAGGGCTGCTCTGCTCTGAAGCATATCCCCGTCGTCATTGTGTCATCGGAGGATATTCCTGCCCGGATTAACACCTGCCTGTCGGAAGGCGCCGAGGAGTACTGTCTTAAGCCCGTCCGGCTGTCGGACGTTAGACCGCATCTGCAGAACGCCTGTAAAGGAAGAGCGGCTACCGGATTGAGTTCTACATCTTGTGGGATCTGTTGAATCAACCCGTTTTGAGGATTGGCTTCTAGGTCTTGTGGGATCTTTTGAATCATTCAAATCAGGGAATTAACTCGTGTAGAAGATTCTTGCCGGGGTTAGTTGTGATTCAGAACAATTTTGCTGTGTCGATTTGTGAAGATATTCTAAATCTTAGGCAATTTGATGTATTTAATTTTGTATAGCTTTTAGATGATTTGATTAAGATATTTGATAAAGCTTTTGGATCGCAACTTTTTGATATGGATTGGTTTAATGTGTTAAATGTTTTGTTTTGGTTTACATAGTACTTCATAATTGTTTAAGGTTGATGCTCCGTATGATCTAGCGTGGTCTTCGATTAAAAACAATCCAAGTAAACACATCCAAAATCATACTCCTTCTCTTCCTTATAACTTTACCAATTTTCCTTTTTTTTGGTTGTTCCAAAAACTTTACCACTTTCCTTTTTAATCAATCAATTTGTGTCTCATGTTATTTCTCTCTTCTCTTCACAAATTTCTACCACACAATTTTTACTTTATTATTCTACGTGGTGGAGCACTACTAGAAAGAGTGTGAGACTTCTCTCTTGTGACACTCTCGATGGGATTGTTCGTTGAATATCTCAACAATTAATGTTTTGTTCTATTTGCGAAAAAATAAATTCTTTGTTTATATAGAGAAAGTATTAATATTAAATTATTAATACTATCATAAATATTAATATTATGAAAATGATATAAATATCTATATATATATAAAAACAGAAAAGTGGAAGAAAGATTTGGGCGGGAATACTGTAACATTTTGGGTAAAAATTAGTGTGAAAACGGTTTGTATGATTAAATTGTGAAGTTGTTTCTTGGCTCAAGAAAAAATGATGCCTAAAAGTAAATGGGGCACACGGTCCAAAAGTATTCGGAGGCTAAATGTGCTGATTTATTCAGCTGGAAAATAAACAATGCAATAAACAGGGCCGGCCATAGGGGGAGTTACCCTAGACAAGTGTCTAGGGCCTCCAAATTTTAGGGGCCTCTAATTTATAAAATAAGCTTATTAATATTATTTAGGAGACTTTGTCCGGCCGTCAACATTTTGGATAGTTTCCTTTGTAATTTTTTGATGATTTTTTTTTAGAATCTTATTCATTATGTCTAGTTTACTCATACCAAATTTCACCTAAAAATTCAATCGGGAAGACATTCAAATGAATTCTTGAAGATAACTGCGCAGTTAAAAGCGCAGTTATCTTAAAGAATTTATTTGAATGCCTTCCATGTTGAATTGTTAGCTGAAATTTGGTATAAGTAAACAAGACTTAATGAATAAGATTCTCAAAAAAATTCATCAAAACATTCCACCGGGAACTGCCCCAAATGGCGACGGCGGGATAAAGTCTCTTATACAAGGGCTTATTTGACCTTTTTGGTTAGTATGTGGGCTCATTTGCTCCTTTTTCTTTTTTTTTTCTTTGTTGACTAGGGCAGTAGGGCTAGGGATTTAGGATAATGAGTATTCTAAATATATTTGAATTCTTATTGAATAATTGAAATTGTAATTTGTTATTTTGATTCATCGAAATATTGAACATACTTATAATTTTTTATATTTGATTAAATTTAGTGAATTAAATTTATATCTACTGTAATTATATTTGAAAACTTATCTAGCTTGCATGCATTAAAAGTGCTTAGCATCATTCTGAATAGTGTGTGATTTTTGTGTAATAAAAAATTAAAAGAAACAATAGTTTACAAATTTTAACATTTAAGTGTTTAATTTAAATATAGGTCATCACTTGAAAACGTCCTTTAAGTTTTTTAAAGCCAAGAGCCAACAATCACATAATTAGAGTGGCAGGTGAGCAATCCACTTAAAGTTAATTGTCTTTTTGAATATAAAATATGGGATGTTGGGCAAATTCAAATGAGTTTGCAAAGTATTTCATACCCTAGCTATTCGATCAAACGCCGTCAAATAAGAATAATTAAAGATTGCATTTCACTCGGTCTTTCCAAGCATGCCGTGGCATAATATTAGCGGTGAGAGGGAACAATAAGGAGAGTATTTAAATGTTTTTCTCCCTTTTGGAGTAAAAAATACTGCAATAGTTTTTGAAATATGGTTTTTCAGGAAAATATAAAATAAAACATGGCTTTTAGCATATTAAATACGTAGTACATAGTAAGTTTTATGCTTATCAAAAGATATTTTGGATCGGAGGTGTAAGGTGTTTAAAATGGATTCTCCTTTTGCTTCATTTTAAAAACAGAAAGTACAATCAGATTTAATTTCATAGAAGGTGGTCTGATCTCCTCCAACTTTTAAAAATTGTTAGTAGGAGTAATTTGGAGCAATCGTACGGAGTATATGCTTTTGCTACCTTAAGTAGAAATAATTTTCAAAAATAGACCCAAACACCATTTAATTAAATCGTACGGAGTATATGATTTAAACATAAATAGAGAACAATAATTATACGATAAAAAAGAGAGAACAATCATTTTAAATTGTAATATAGACACACATTAAAAATGTTTCACTATAACCCTATCTTATCTTATAATCCCAATTTATCATTCGGTTCCCACATGTCAAGGTACCAGTCGAGAACTCGAGATAAATGATTTCATTTAAAGAAAAAAAGTTATTATTATTTACGGAGTACACTTTATGTATTTATGATAAGCATGACGGGTCAAGAAATCACTTCATAATATACAAAATATGTCTTCCCGTGCATCGTACGGGTATAACACTAGTTAATATTAATACTTATCCAAAATCAATGACGTCTAACTTTGACCGATTATATGTTTATATAGAGAAAATATTAATATTATGAAAATGATATGAAAATGTTCTTTGTTAAAAACACTATCATAAAAGTATAAAATTATTAAATTTTGCATAAATATACTCCGTATTAGTTTAAATAATTGGTCAAAGTTTACCACCTTTGACTGGAAAAGTCCAAGATGGCTAAGTAAATTGGGACGGAGGAAGTAAATGATTAGCTAAATCCATTTGGCTCTTGCAAAAACAGCACGTACGATCGATCCATCTCGGTATATAATCCTTCCAACTTTGTTTCATCCACGGTTTGCTCTTCCCTTTAGTTCTAAGAACATCATACTCCCTCCGTCCCGAAATTATCTTCATGCTTTCCTTTTCGGCATGTCTCAAATTTATATTTTTTTTCTTTTTTAGCAAAGAATTTATGGTTCACAACCATTCTTACACATTCTTACACATTTTTCTTTCCTCTTCACAACTCTCCAGCACACATTTCCACTATCTTAATATGCGTGCCAATTGTACTTGTGAAGATAAATATGGAACAGATGGAGTAGATTTTAGTTGCTTGTAGTTTCCCTGGATGAGAAGAAGTACTAAACTTGTGTATTACTTAGTATTTCATCAATTTTGCTATAGGTACCCCAAATTTACCCCATTTCCTACCCCATATAAAAATCCTCTCCCTTCCGCACTTTTCTTCTCCCCCCTCCCCCACTTTTCTTCTCCTTCCCTCCCTCTCTCCTCCCTCTTTTCCTTTTACACAGCCCCCCCCCCCCCCCCCCCATCCTCTCTCCTTTCTTTCTCTTTTCTCCAAATCTTGATTTCTTCCCCATTGCAACATCTCTCTCCATCAAATCTTCCCATTTTTACAATCTTTTCTCCCTCCAAGCTTCTTCTTCCTTTTTTTTCGTTTCAAATGCAAGAGCTACAGTAGATCGGAGGAAGGGGAGAGCTGGGTGACGTTAGATAGCTTGACATGGGGAGACAACGACGAAAGTGCAGACCAAGAAGCTTTGAATGGCTTGAGAAGATCTACTTTTCTTGATTTTTTTTCTTGATTTTTTGGTGTGTTTTCGAAAAGGGTTGTCTGTCTGACTGACAACTGTAAGTGCAGTGTCTGTATTTGTTAGTAAGACTCATGAAGTTGTCTGTCATTTGATCGTTAGTTGTCTGTATTTGTTTCGAGTTGTCTGTCATGTTGTTGTGAGAAATCTGTAAGAGTCGTGAAGTTGTTTGTCTCTAATTGATGGTTAATTATCTGTATTTGTTTTGAGTTGTCTGTATTTGTTTTGAGTTGTCTGTATTTGATTGTGAGTTGTCTGTATTTTGTGATGTTTATTTTTGGAGATGTAATTAGTATAATGAGGCAGACATTAAATATACACATCCAGACAATAAGTATACACATACAGACATTACTTTATTGTGAATTACCATTTTGGAATATGTTTCATAAAGAAGACAGACAATACGTATAACTAGACAGACAATAGAGATAATGAGACAGACATGATTTTCACCACAAATTATGTAACACCGACCCCGAGCATATTTACTTTTAGTAAATTATGTAATAAACCTTGAAGGATGATTTACTTTTATTATTTCTTTTACGTGAATAGTAAATTGCATGTGGGGCCACAGCGGGAACGGGGACCGCCCGATAATTCACGAACCACATATTATATTCATCTTGGTCTAGATGACATCTATATGGTTGTGGATATTTTATTTGGGCCATAAGAAAGGCATGGAGTTGACCGGTTGGTCAAACGGGGCCCAATTACCGGTATTGGTAATTTAGCGGATAACAGCCCGAAATGAGTTTCGGAGACTCCTAAATTAATGTTGGGGAACGTACATCGTTTCTAAAGGCACATAATTATTAGGAACACGTGATATATTTTATTTGGCTCGATAAAATAAAATATAATTAAAACAGTCCGAGAAATACAACTTTCGGGACCGATTGTACACATCGAGACATAAGGGGATGACCTCCCACGTAAGTGGGGGTCACCCCACGTTTTTATGTACTCTAAGTTGACAAAGGAGAGCTGGGAGGACACCAGAACATGGGAGGGGTGAGCATTAGGTGGAAGGTCTCATTGAGACAACAAACCTATACCCATGTGTCTTCCTACACAATTATATTGTGTGGAGTGAAGAGAAACCCCCACCCCATTTGCAATCATACGGACCACTCATAGAGGGAGAGCTCCAAGGGATAACTCTCAAGAAGCTCAAGCTTGAAGGAAGCAAGAGGAGAGGAAATCCAAGAAGAAAAACATAGTGTTTAAGGTAAGAACTCAATGAATATTCTTTAACTAGTATTATTGGTGTGTGATTTTTAAGAAATCATATGGTGGAGTAAATCATGAGTTCTACACGTTTAAAAGTGTAGAAAAATGATATAAAGTGTTGGTAATTAACTTAGAAGAATCGTGGAATCGATAGGAGTTGAAATCGCCGGAAACCGCCACTTTAAAGGAGCTGCCCGTAGCTGCAGACCACGAAAGGCGCCCGGCTTTCACGAAAGCCGCCCGGCTTTCACTTAATTCCCAGAATGTTCGCT